TGATTCAACATTGATACCTCAAGGTTGATTCAACCTTGATGGTTCAATGTTGATTCAACTTTCATAGTCAACGTCATATCAACATAGTTTCAACGTTGACCGTCAACGTTGATTCAACATTGAGACCTCAAGGTTGATTTAACCTTGATGGTTCAACGTTGAGTCAACTTTCATAGTCAACGTCATATCAACATAGTTTCAATGTTGACTGTCAACGTTGATTCAACATTGATACCTCAAGGTTGATTCAACCTTGATGGTTCAACGTTGATTCAACTTTCATAGTCAACGTCATATCAACATAGTGTCAACGTTGACCGTCAATGTTGATTCAACATTGATACCTCAAGGTTGATTTAACCTTGATGGTTCAACGTTGAGTCAACTTTCATAGTCAACGTCAAATCAACATAGTTTCAACGTTGACCATCAACGTTGATTCAACATTGATTCAATGTTGATTTGCCCGCTGGGAAGGTATGATCAATATAAAAACAAAAACGAAAAAAAAACAATAAGGTTAATATTTTGACAAAAGTTAAATTAAATTACACTCACCCCCTCCCACCCCCCGTCCCCATCAACGGACTTGGTTGGACTCGATGTAGTATAAGAGTCCCGCAGATTAACATTTTGGACTCCCTGTGCCCAAATTCCTGCAGAACCCCCTGTTGGCCCTTGATTAACTTTCTGCATTAAAAAGAGAACTTACGTAATGGTCAGTGGTCAGTCCTGTCAATGATCCTCTTTTATAGAGTCTTAGTATAACTGTACCTTACAAGTACACTTTGTCAATAAGTAACAGGGTTAGATATATTTTATTATACGCCGAATTATCAGTTTAAAACGTAATTTAACTACTTTTTTTTACCTTTTTTGGGCATGTTTTAGCGGTCATTTGAAATGCAGAATACCATGCACTTTAAACCCGACTCTTTGCTATGTTACATAATTATTTATTTATAATATAATGATATTATAATATTTTTATATTATTGACGGCCATCTTGAATTTCGAAAATTGATCAATGTTCCACACCTAGCCACTGCCAAGAAAGCCCAAATTAAATTGGCTTTTATACCCCAAAAGTGTTAAATTCTTTTAAAAAAATCAGGGAATAACATTCTAAGTATTTGACTATGGGACCCGAAGGGTAGCAAAAAGACTCTTGGGGGGTTATTGAACTGTCAGATAAGCTTATTCCAAGAGTTTCGGGTCATGACTAACAAAATATTATAATTAACATAAAAATAAAAAGGGGATATGGTTCTAATAGAAATAAATATGCAAAAAACAAACCGATTCTGCAACTTTTAACATTTTCTGCCTTATGTTTTGACGGCCATTTTGGTTTTTTGCTAAGTGGTACGCGCTTAAGCGTATTCACTAGTACTGTTGTGCTCTCCTGATAGGATACACGTTCAAAAAAGCTGTCAATAAAGTTTACCCGGCGACTTCTGGTCGTTTTTCTATTTTTCCTCATAAATTGACGGCCATATTGAAAAATGCTCAAGGTCTCGGGAATAGCAACCAAGCTAATTTTGCTTCTCTCGGCCTGAAGAATGCATTTCTGCAAAAAAAGTTTACAGGAAAGAACATTGCAGGGTTCGACTATTGGGCCTATAGGAGTGGCGACTCGACTATGATGACTTGTTAGTCCCTCTCGCCCCCTCCCTAGTACATCGCAAGGACTTGTTGATATTACTTGAGTTTAATGGACCTTTAGGATTTCTTGTTTATTTTAACACACTTAATGCTTTCACGTTCACTTTTACAACTTGTTGCCCCCGGAGAATGTTGGAACGTATAGAAAAAGCATGTCAATGCAAACGAACCGCACTATCAGTTGTAGTAACGTATTTTAAAGCTCATATGTCAATGTCTGTTTTGGGCAGGTATTGTGACGATGTATTGTGTTAGTTGAGGTTGTTTTGTATTGCTACCAGTAGATGTCTCTATAACTGTAGGGTAGGGTAAATAATAACTTTTTTTTGGAAATCTCTCAGGGAACAGGTGATTTTAGAGGCAAAATGGGCCAAAAAGTTAATTTCTGATGAGAAATTTGAGCTAGAAGCATTCTTTAGGTCGGTAATTTTACTATTTTTGAAAACGCATACAAAGCATATGCACTGCATATACAGTAACTGTAGTAATTATATGTATGTATATAATTGTATTGAAAAATGTTGAGTGAAGCACAAATTTTTGATAAGTGAGTGTTTTATATGACACAAAATGATGCTAAACACACATGTGCAACTATTTTTTTTCTCATAACAGCCATTAAGGATGGTAAAATGACAATTTTCAAAATGGCGGACAAAATGCCCTATCAAGAGTTTCAACATTGACAATTAAAGGAACCTTTGTTTTTATTATGCGTTTTCTTATGTTTTTAAGGTTGTAAAATATTTATTCTTATGTTAACACTGCCACTGTTTCATTTTAAATGGAGTTTGGCTACCTTGTTGGTTGATAGTTTACTATCAAGCTTGAAAGAAGAGCCAGATCTCAGTCAGTCAAAACGAGTAGTGATAAGATATCTCAAGTTCTGCTGGATGTGAATTATGAGGAAGAATCAGAGTTATCCTGACCCCAAGCAACCAATGGGAGAATGTCTTTAAATTATTAAAAAGAAGTGGATGGAATATTTTTGTTCTGCACATAAGAAGTTGGGGAAACAATCACTATCATGTACTGAGACCAGCAAAGAAGTTGCCTGAGAAATATCCAATGTCTGGATGTCTAAGAATATCTTTCCTCTCTTTGAGAACGTGTACAACAGAATAACTGTATATTGAGACTACATATAAAAAGCATTGTGCTTATGTATAATGAATCTTAAACACTATTTGTCATGTTTTGATTGAAATCTTTCACTTTTGTATTATCCTTGCACTTCACAGACAGTTAATGCTTCATACGTTCCCCAAATATATCATAATCCAACATACTTCTGTTGGGAATGTACTTCTCAAAGATTGGAAAAATACTTTTTTGGAGATTCAGGCATTGGAGATTTCTCTGGCAACTGCTTTGCTAGCCTCAGCTTATGATAGGGATGTCTTCCGGCTTCATACATGTAAAATGTAAAAGTGTATCATCCATCCTATTGTAATAATTTAGAAAAATATTTACTTTATGGTAAGGTTACTAGTAATTGATTCTTCATTATAATTCCCATCCAACAGATGTTGGGAAATCATATCACTCCTCATTTTGATTGATCAAGATGACTGAGGTTGTTCATTTTCCCCATTATCGAAGATTCTGGCTCTTCACTCTAGATTGACAGTTAAATGTCAGCTGACATGGTAACTGAACTCACTGTAAAATGTATCAATCTCAGTATTAACATCTGAAATAGATTCTACAACCCCAAAAACATAAGAAAAGACATATTACACACCATAATACCTTTAATTGTTGTTAATGAAGCTTTGGGTAGGCCGTTTTGGCTGCCATTTTGAAAATTGTCATTTTACCGGCCTTAATAATTGTCTTAGAAAAAGTGATTGTCAGATTTGTGTTCTGCATCAAATTTCGCCTCAGAAAACACCTGTTATGGAATTTTTTTGAGATTTACCCTACCCTAAGTAAAGTATAGTCCAGTGTGCAAGTTTGAATCTCTCGTGTGATTGGTAACTTAAAGGTAGAACTGTTCATTGTATAATTGGTTCTGATTGGTAAACGTGTACTATCTGAACATGTATATAAGGTGTGATTTGAAATAAATCGGTCTCTTTTGGCCTTTAGACCTTCTAGCTCTCTGGCTGTTTCTTGGTTTATGAATCCTTGAATGACACCAGTAAGTAAAGTGTTCTTTGTACTCGGCCACGAAGGCGTAACAGTATTTACAGTTTTAGCTCCGCCTCCTGTTGCTTACTTTGTATATATATTCACGCCCTGCTCATTGAGTGGGTAGTTTTTGATCAGTCTCTGTAGATAATAAACGTGTAGTTTTTTCAGCTCTCGTTTTTTCTCTGAACCGCATATCGACAATTGGGATATATGGAGAAGAAGCGTTGATGCAGTAGCTGGATTTCTGTCTTCCGGATAAAGAAAAAAGGTATTCAATTCCTTTAATAGTAGTGTTATAGTTCTTAATCTGTGGATAGTTCTTAATCTGTGGATAGTTCTTAATCTGTGGATAGTCTGTACAGTAGGACCCAAATGCACTCCGACAAGGAAATCGGTTCGGTATGTTATCTTGGGTGGAGGCAAAAGCCGCTGACGGAAATTGTATTCTTTGTACCTTTACTCGAGGGAAATTGAACTTTTGAACAGGATATAGTGATTTTATTTGATATATATTATGCAGTGCTGTTGGACGTAAGTACAAACCTGTCGTAAAAACCTGTTTACTGTCTCGGTACATAGGCCTACACTCGTTTTCAGGTCAGGGCACGTAACGCGTTGCCGAAGGGTTTGAATTACATGTTTACAAGGATTAGTCAAAAGAAAAAATGACGTAAAATGGTACATGAACCCATTTTATCCCATGAGACGAAATTATCTTCTTCCTCTAACCACTTACTCAAAACACAACATTATTAATAAAACAATATTAATTCAAGTGGCCGGTTAACTGGCAACTTTAGTAATATTTCCTATATACCTATATTTTAATATACAAATATAAAGAAGCACCTGCAATCCCTTTAAGTTTTAAAGATCAATGGTTTAATATCAGGTCATTAGGTAGAAAAATTCATTTTTGCATTTCTAGGAAACATGGACATTATAAACGTATGTGCCTGGCCTAATGTGCAGACTGCACTGGTCGGTACATTTGTATTCCTGTTGGTGATGACATATCTACGACGGAAAAGATACAGACTGCCGCCAGGTCCTCCACAGCTACCAATATTGGGGAATTATTTTGGTGAGATGGATTGTAATGGATTTTAAAACATTTTTTCTTCATTGTTATTAATACTTTACGCTTAAACCCAGGCAGTGATCCAGTGATGCTACTGATGTCTTTGTGACATTGTATTTAAATTATACAATAGTGTGTGTGTGTGAGTGTGTGTGTGTGTGTGTGTGTGTGTGTGTGTGTGTGAGAGAGAGAGAGAGAGAGAGAGAGAGAGAGAGAGAGTATTACTACTATTGTTTTGCAAATAATGGTCATAAATCAAAGTAAATGATAAATATTTTATCAGAAAGGTATTTATGTATTGGACATATGTTATTTTATTTTAGCCTTTTCGAAAGATGTGAGACTGTTTACGGTTTTTGCAGAAATGGAAAAGAAATACGGAGACATATTCACAGTAAATTTTGGTAAGTCTTACTTTAAACTAAATTGCATAACAACAATTGTTGTGTAAATACACGGTCAAAGAAACACAAGACTTGGCTGTGAACACGCTTGGAAGGTACGATGCTTAGTAATTGTTGTCGTCACTTTTGTGACCAGGTGTGACAGGAATGTTAGTCCGCTAGGAACTGTAGTCCGTTTCCCATTACTTTGTACAGATGTGACAGGAATGGTAGTCTGCTAGGAACCGAAGTCCGTTTCCCATTACTTTGTACAGGTCCGTTTCCCATTACTGTTTACGGTTTTTGCAGAAATGGAAAAGAAATACGGAGACATATTCACAGTACACTTGTCTTATATACTAACCTCAATTCTCCGACCAACCCTAACCTGTAATTATCATATTGGACCCCGGACTTCCATTCCTAGGACTACTATTTCTATTACACCGAGCTGGCACAGAAAATCTCGGCTTTCCGCAGCAGTTATCTGAGAATGTATGAGGCAAGAAGAATGTTAATTTACGACATAATTAACACAGCATTTTTATGGGCTATTCGCAGGTTTTGGACATAACTCCATTGTGGTGAGCTCAGTTGATTTGGTGAATGAGTTATTGGTGGAAAAGTCAGAAGAATTTGCCGGCAGGGACACATCTCTTTGGTCACGTATGTAGGCAACATTTTATGGTCTCTGTTGCTTAAAATATTCCATTTAGCTGGGTCAGATATGTTTATATCTATCCATTTATTTCTTGGACACACAGAGATATATGTTTGCGTGTAGGCGAATTGTCTTCCAGGGTACCGAGAAGAACACGTTTAAACGAATGAAATGGTTATCCAAAGACAAGTCATAAGCTCCGTATCCCGAAGAATCTATTTCAAGATTTTAAGTTACAAATATTAACTGCTTCCTTAATCTTAAGCATTACGCAAGGAATTGGTTTTTTAAAGATGTATTTCCCCGTTGCAGTTTACTTGATATCCGGTGGATACAAGGATATTGCATTTTCTGACCATGGACCTGTGTGGACATTACAGAAAAAGATGGCAGTGAAGGTCATCAGGTAAACTGACTCAGTGCTCTGTACATAAATCTCCTTTACTGGTTATTTAAGATTGTAAAGCTCCCATTATTGCTACAAAGCTCGACGTTTCTCCTTAAACTCAGTGTCTCAAATTTCGTTTATTGAAAACCATGGAGACATGTATCACGAAGAGAAGAAACATATGGTTACCAATAGACAAACACAAGGGTTGCAATCTGCCCCCCTTCCTCCACGAACACATAAACATATTGTCTCCAATCCACAAGACATACGTTAATGAAAAAGCAAAAATAATTTCCATTTTAGGTCATACGTCTTTAGCGGTAAATTAGATTGTTTGGCGAAGTCTGCATTCGAGGAGGTTGCCCCTTTGTTGTCGAAACAACCAGAACCCTTAGATGTCGATATCTACATCAATTTACTAATTTACAATATGATCTGTAGGATTTCTTTTGGCAAGAGGTAAGCTACATAAACTATTGTCAATGTTTACTCGGCCGTCTAGTAACGTGTCCGTCATTTTGACCATTTTATTGAAATAACCTGTAGACCAGGGCTCCGCAACTCGAAAGCATCGCGTATTGCGAATAGCGATATCACATAGGGGCTACAATGTATGGGCGACTATGGTCGAGTTATGGAATCGAGACGCTTGCGCTCGGACGCAATGCGCCATGCTTTCGAGTTACGCGGCCCTGTAGTATATATGCAAGTGCCTTTCTATTCATCCATATATTACTCGCACTTCACATTCTTTCCTATCTCAAATAACTCTACGATGATGATATAGTTTAGTGAAGAAATCGCATTCGTATAACATATGCAAAACCAGTACGCGAACTACACGTCTGTAGAATGATAGGCGTTGTACTTCGTTGTAACCGTTAGTACTTCGTTTGTTCACTTGGTTTTCACATAATGGGCATTCATGTACAGGCCCG